TTGGGTGGACTCAGGGACGGTCTACTGACTTGAACCCCGATTCGAACTCGAGACTTACGGGTTAGCAGTCCAGCTCTCTACCGCTAGACCACTCCGTCCCATGTAACAACAACAGTGACGTCCAAAAGCAGTGACGTCCAGCTCTAACTGTTTCCCAATTATCACCGGCTTCCTCAGTTTTAAAACGGCGTTAAACTAAGGATGATGGGAACGGTGGATAAAAAAGATTGTGTACGTCCTAACTCCCGAGATAATCCGTCTATCCAGATTGTCTCTGACAGACTTAGAGGACGCAATCAATTTCTCCTACAAGCCGATCCTCAAGACAACCCCACCCCTACCCACCCGTCTCATCAGAACCCCCCCCCCCCCCACACCAACCCCCTCACACACACCAACCCGCGTCTCAAGACCCAAGAGCCGGTTAAACAGCCACAATAAGTAGATTGCCTCATCATGCCCGGCTTCCGGCCAGGGCCGGATTCTGCCGGTTTTCCGGCCGCGCGCGCGTCTGATGACGCCGGGCACGTGCCGCAAATGGACATTTGGGCTCGTCCGGAGCACGTGCAAATGTTGAGTACAATGTGAGGGGACAACGCCCCACACATTTGGCCGGGCAAGTGGACGTGCCGTGGGTGGGGCAGGGGGAGGAGGGGAGGGGGGAATTAAATTAAACAAAAAGTACATGGATGGTCGTGGATGGACGAATCATACATCGACCATTCCAGATGGACAAAGCCTACATCGACCACTACATATGCAACGGTCGCGCATAGACAATTCCAGCAGAAAGTCAACGCCTTGATCGACCATAAAAAAATGGACGGAAAGTTCGACCAGCATGGACCAAAACATCCGACACAGAGATGTTTCTGTAGGATTTCTCTGGGTGACGTGTCTGTCTGATGTTTAAGTTTGATGTGTCTAAATTATTTTATGATATGTCTGGGTGATGTGTCTGTCTGATGTTTAAGTTTGATGTGTCTAAATTATTTTATGATATGTCTGGGTGATGTGTCTGTCTGATGTTTAAGTTTGATGTGTCTATATTATTTTTTGATGTTTCTGTGTGATGTTTAAAACTTTGAACATAGTAATTAAAACATGTGTGTTTCGGCGTGTTTGTGTGTGTGTTTGTGTAAAATGTTAACAAGACATGTTTTTACATGCAACTCAAAAAATTTGATTTGTTCATTTAAGCTAGCCTTGCTTAAATCATCAGGAACTGTTCTCATACTGTGAAGGAATATGTAAGAAAGATGTAAGAAATATGTAAGAAAGATGTAAGAAAGATGTAAGAAAGATGTAAGAAATATGTCAACCAGTCCTACAATCACTCAACGTGTAAGTATTCTGTTCATGACGTCATCCACTAGGACACAGAGCAGTGATGACGTCAAAACATGGCGGACAACTCATCCAGTGTTTCCACACCACCACATCTGGTTGCCATGACAACGCTGGCCCAGTAAACACGCGTCTTCCTGCTACTTCCGGTTTTACGACTCGCCTACCACTGACAGGCAGGAGACTTCCGCTTTCGTTTTATCTTAGGAAGATTTCCGCTTTCGTTTTATCTTCATCGATCGCTACCTTTTTTTTTTTTTAGTTTTGTCCATTTGAAACTCATTTTTAACTTTCTGAAAACAAGTTGTAAAAAGTTAAAGTTGTTCATTTGCAACTTTCTGAAGTCAAGAAGTAAAATGTTCAAGTTGTCAGTTTTCAATTCTCTGCAACAAAAAGTTCAAGTTGTAAATTTTTAACCCTCTAAACACTGAATGAAAAACAAAAAAGTCCAAAAATTTGGTCTTGCGGGAACAGGCAAAAACTCATGTTTGAAATGTGAGGAGAAAAAACGACATTTTTTGTTTGTATAAACATTTCTTCACTTTATTCTCACGAACGAATTTAGAATAAACCACGTGATACCCTACAGGCCAGACGCCCCAACACGTGCAAGTGTAGCTCACACAAAACGAGCGGCAAAAACGTGAAAGTTTCCTTCATAAATTATTTAATTAACATATTCTTTAAAATAATGACACACCCAACTCACAGTAAACAACTGTCGCCACGGTGAAATTATTTCTGTTTGTTTTCTCCTATAGAATCCAATTTAAAAAAATCACGTGATAAATATCTAAACCCCCCCCCCCCCCCCCACCCCCACCCGGACCCGTATGTCCCGATGTCCACAACCTCCTTTCTATCGTCACTTTCCAGTTGAGTGCTCCCATCCAGTTTTTCCCCCCCTTCACTTTCCCCCGCCTGTCAATCAAAGCGTTCTGTCGTCTGCTTCCACCTCCTCGCTCTGTCACTCCTTAATCCGATTAGCGCGGATTTTTTCCTCCCGTTCATCAGCTATCTGCCCCCCCCCCCCCCCTCATCAGCTATCTGCTTTTTTCTTCGTCGGCTTCTTGCTGCTTGAGTGATTCTTAGATGTGATTTGCTGATCTGGGCGTGGTGAGGGCTAGACATGTCTGTCATACACTTGTTTGTCATACAGTTGTCTGTCATGTCATACAGTTGTCTGTCATGTCATACAGTTGTCTGTCATACAGTTGTCTGTCGTCTGTCATACAGTTGTCTGTCATACAGTTGTCTGTCATACAGTTGTCTGTCATACAGTTGTCTGTCGTCTGTCGTACAGTTGTCTGTCATACAGTTGTCTGTCATACAGTTGTCTGTCATGTCATACAGTTGTCTGTCATACAGTTGTCTGTCATGTCATACAGTTGTCTGTCGTACAGTTGTCTGTCGTCTGTCATACAGTTGTCTGTCATACAGTTGTCTGTCATGTCATACAGTTGTCTGTCATGTCATACAGTTGTCTGTCATACAGTTGTCTGTCGTCTGACATACAGTTGTCTGTCATACAGTTGTCTGTCATACAGTTGTCTGTCATACAGTTGTCTGTCGTCTGTCATACAGTTGTCTGTCATACAGTTGTCTGTCATACAGTTGTCTGTCATACAGTTGTCTGTCATGTCATACAGTTGTCTGTCATGTCATACAGTTGTCTGTCATACAGTTGTCTGTCGTCTGTCATACAGTTGTCTGTCATACAGTTGTCTGTCATACAGTTGTCTGTCATACAGTTGTCTGTCGTCTGTCATACAGTTGTCTGTCATACAGTTGTCTGTCATACAGTTGTCTGTCATACAGTTGTCTGTCATGTCATACAGTTGTCTGTCATGTCATACAGTTGTCTGTCATACAGTTGTCTGTCATACAGTTGTCTGTCGTCTGTCATACAGTTGTCTGTCATACAGTTGTCTGTCATACAGTTGTCTGTCATACAGTTGTCTGTCATGTCATACAGTTGTCTGTCATACAGTTGTCTGTCATACAGTTGTCTGTTATATACTTATATTGGCTGTACGCGCTAACCTATCGTTGATTTTTATCTATTTCTGCTCACATACACATAAATACACATAATCATATACACCAATACACACATACACACAGAATCACACACACACATACACGAATTACAACACGCACATTTAAGAATATATTTATGGGCCTCTATACACAAAAAGAAAATTAATTTAATAATTAGCTTATAATCATTATAATACAAATAATAATACATATTATATTAAGAGTAATATAGATAATCTAAATAATAATAATAATAGTAATAATAATAATAATAATAATAATAATAATAATAATAATAATAATAATAATAATAATAATAATAATAATAATCATTATTATTATTATAGTAGTAGTAGTAGTAGTAAGAAATGTAGCAATAATATGCCAATAACACTAACACTATAACGACGAGTTTGTAAATAGACTAGGATGTAAGGGCGGTAAAGGCAGTAAACAATAATCACAATCAAACAGATATCATTTTACACGCTACTGCTAGAAAAACCTGGCCAATAGTTTTTTTTATGACGCGCATCGTAAAAGTTGTCCCTGGAATATTGTGGGGATATTGGGGTATCGTTTTTTCATAACTTGACGTGAATAAAATCTAGACGCCCCGCGGAGGATATCAACTGGATCATATCGATCCCGTCCTTAGTATCGAGCAAACACTGATCTACTTGCCATGTTGAGACCGATAATCGGGTTTAGAGTGAGCCAGAGTCTGTTTCTTTAGTCTGTGTGTTGTCTTTTTAGTCTGTGTTCTGTCCCTTTGTATTCTGTCCCTTTAGACCGGGTTCCGTCCACTTAGTCTGTGTTCTGTCCCTTTGTGTTTTTAGTCTGTGTTCTGTCCCTGTGTGTTCTGTCCCTTTAGTCTTTGTGCTGTCACTTTAGTCTGTGCTGTCCCTTTAGTCTGAGTTCTGTCCCTTTAGTCTGTGTTCTGTCCCTTTAGTCTGAGTTCTTTCCCTTTAGTCTGTGTTCTGTCCCTTTAGTCTGTGTTCTGTCCCTTTAGTCTGTGTTCTGTCCCTTTAGTCTGAGTTCTGTCCCTTTAGTCTGGGTGCTGTCCCTTTAGTCTGAGTTCTGTCCCTTTGTGTTCTGTCCCTTTAGTCTGAGTTCTGTCCCTTTAGTCTGTGTTCTGTCCCTTTAGTCTGAGTTCTTTCCCTTTAGTCTGTGTTCTGTCCCTTTAGTCTGAGTTCTGTCCGTTTAGTCTGAGTTCTTTCCCTTTAGTCTGTGTTCTGTCCCTTTAGTCTGAGTTCTGTCCCTTTAGTCTGTGTGCTGTCCCTTTAGTCTGAGTTCTGTCCCTTTGTGTTCTGTCCCTTTAGTCTGTGTTCTGTCCCTTTAGTCTGAGTTCTTTCCCTTTAGTCTGTGTTCTGTCCCTTTAGTCTGTGTTCTGTCCCTTTAGTCTGTGTTCTGTCCCTTTAGTCTGAGTTCTGTCCCTTTAGTCTGTGTGCTGTCCCTTTAGTCTGAGTTCTGTCCCTTTGTGTTCTGTCTCTTTAGTCTGAGTTCTGTCCCTTTAGTCTGTGTTCTGTCCCTTTAGTCTGAGTTCTGTCCGTTTAGTCTGTGTTCTGTCCCTTTAGTCTGTGTTCTGTCCCTTTAGTCTGAGTTCTTTCCCTTTAGTCTGTGTTCTGTCCCTTTAGTCTGAGTTCTTTCCCTTTAGTCTGTGTTCTGTCATAAGCGACATCTCCCCCAACATAATCCACATCTCCACCACCATAATCCACATCTTTACCACCATAATCCACATCTCCACCAACATAATCCACAGCTCCACCAACATAATCCACATCTCCACCACCATAATCCACATCTCCACCACCATAATCCACATCTCCACCAACATAATCCAAATCTCCACCAACATAATCCACATCTCCACCACAATAATCCACATCTCCACCATCATAATCCACATCTCCACCACCATAATCCACATCTCCACCACCATAATCCACATCTCCACCACCATAATCCACATCTCCACCACCATAATCCACATCTCCACCACCATAATCCACATCTCCACCACCATAATCCACATCTCCACCAACATAATCCACATCTCCACCACCATAATCCACATCTCCACCACCATAATCCACATCTCCACCAACATAATCCACATCTCCACCACCATAATCCACATCTCCACCACCATAATCCACATCTCTACCACCATAATCCACATCTCCACCAACATAATCCACATCTCCACCAACATAATCCACATCTCCACCACCATAATCCACATCTCTACCACCATAATCCACATCTCCACCACCATAATCCACAGCTCCACCACCATAATCCACAGTTCCACCAACATAATCCACAGCTCCACCAACATAATCCACATCTCCACCACCATAATCCACAGCTCCACCAACATAATCCACAGCTCCACCAACATAATCCACATCTCCACCACCATAATCCACATCTCCACCACCATAATCCACATCTCCACCAACATAATCCACATCTCCACCACCATAATCCACAGCTAGACCAACATAATCTAAATCTCCCCCAACATAATCCACATCTCCACCAACATAATCCACATCTCCACCACCATAATCCACATCTCCACCAACATAATCCAAATCTCCACCAACATAATCCACATCTTCACCAACATAATCCACATCTCCACCACCATAATCCACAGCTCCACCACCATAATCCACATCTCCACCAACATAATCCAAATCTCCACCAACATAATCCACATCTCCACCACCATAATCCACATCTCCACCACCATAATCCACAGCTCCACCACCATAATCCACATCTCCACCAACATAATCCACATCTCCACCAACATAATCCACATCTCCACCAACATAATCCACATCTCCACCACCATAATCCACAGCTCCACCACCATAATCCACATCTCCACCAACATAATCCACATCTCCACCAACATAATCCACATCTCCACCAACATAATCCACATCTCCACCACCATAATCCACAGCTCCACCACCATAATCCACAGCTCCACCACCATAATCCACATCTCCACCACCATAATCCACATCTCCACCACCATAATCCACAGCTCCACCACCATAATCCACATCTCCACCAACATAATCCACAGCTCCACCACCATAATCCACATCTCCACCACCATAATCCACAGCTCCACCACCATAATCCACATCTCCACCACCATAATCCACATCTCCACCAACATAATCCACAGCTCCACCAACATAATCCACATCTCCACCACCATAATCCACATCTCCACCAACATAATCCAAATCTCCACCAACATAATCCACATCTCCACCAACATAATCCACATCTCCACCAACATAATCCACATCTCCACCACCATAATCCACAGCTCCACCACCATAATCCACATCTCCACCAACATAATCCAAATCTCCACCAACATAATCCACATCTCCACCACCATAATCCACATCTCCACCACCATAATCCACATCTCCACCACCATAATCCACATCTCCACCAACATAATCCACATCTCCACCAACATAATCCACATCTCCACCAACATAATCCACATCTCCACCACCATAATCCACAGCTCCACCACCATAATCCACATCTCCACCAACATAATCCACATCTCCACCAACATAATCCACATCTCCACCAACATAATCCACATCTCCACCAACATAATCCACAGCTCCACCACCATAATCCACATCTCCACCAACATAATCCACATCTCCACCAACATAATCCACATCTCCACCACCATAATCCACAGCTCCACCACCATAATCCATATCTCCACCACCATAATCCACAGCTCCACCACCATAATCCACATCTCCACCAACATAATCCACAGCTCCACCACCATAATCCACAACTCCACCAACATAATCCACAGCTCCACCACCATAATCCACAGTTTAGTACCAATTAGAAACACACACACCCGTAACAGTGAGCGTCACTGACGACAGGGCAGACCCCCCCCCCCCCCCCCAACTCTGTGGTTAATCCACCCACACACAACAAAGCACATAGCCACAGCTCCACCCACAACACTGCTGCCCCGCTTGCATTTCTTCTGCGCCAAATGTCGAGGCAGTGATGACGTCATTGACGCCCCAGCACGACCAATGCAGGAAGAGAAATCAATATTCATTGGGGAGAGACGGGCCAATCAGATTGAGCGTTATAAAATCACTTCCTCCCTCTGACACTAGCCACGGGTCGATATTTTATAACGACAATTTTGATTGGTTGATCTGAAATAATTATCGACTGTCTTTCTAAACCTGATTAGTATGTTGTCTTAGATAATAATTATCTTACTAAACTAGACCACTAAAAAACTGAATGTTGTCTTAGTTAATCATTAATCGCGCTGTCCTAGATCACTAATTAGTAAACTGTCTTGTCATTAACCAGCCATGTACGCGATGGTTAGACAGTTTTCCATGTCTTATCATGATATCAGTTGTGGGTTCGAATCCATCTAGGAAGGTTGTATGACGTCATCACACTTGCATGAAAAGTAGAGTAGAACACGAGACAGCAACACTAACCCAACACTTGTATAACACTAACCAATCACTACTATAACACTAACCAACACTAGCATAACACTAACGCTAACCAACACTAACGCTAACCAACACTAACGCTAACCAACACTAACGCTAACCAACACTAACGCTAACCAAAACTAACGTTAACCAACACTAACGCTAACCAACACTAACGCTAACCAACACTAACGCTAACCAACACTAGCGCTAACCAACACTAACGTTAACCAACACTAACATTAACCAACACTAACATTAACCAACACTAACATTAACCAACACTAACGCTAACCAACACTAACATTAACCAACACTAACGCTAACCAACACTAACGCTAACCAACACTAACGTTAACCAACACTAACATTAACCAACACAAACGTGAACCAACACTAGCATAACACTAACGCTAACCAACACTAACGCTAACCAACACTAACGTTAACCAACACTAACGCTAACCAACACTAACGTTAACCAACACTAACATTAACCAACACTAACGCTAACCAACACTAACGCTAACCAATACTAACGCTAACCAACACTAACGCTACCAACACTAGCTGTAGCTAGCTGTAGATATGAAAGCCATAACTAGCTGGAAGATGTTATTGCTGGGAATCTGGGAACTGTTAGCTGCAGCTAGCACCCACTCCACACCACCCCACACAGACCTCACACCACCCTGTACTGTTGGATATTGGTCTCTGGGGTCGAGTGTGGGTGGTTATGGGGGGGGGGGGGGGTGTCAATGGGGTGTTCGTGTGCGGAGGGGGTTAGTGAGGTGTGGTTGGTGTGGTTTGTGTGGTCTGTGTGTTATGTGTGGTTTGTGTGGTTTGGGTGGTTTGTGTGGTTTGTGTGGTTTGTGTAGTTTGTGTGGTTTGTGTGGTTTGTGTGGTTTGTGTGGTGTGTGTGGTTTGTGTGGTTTGTGTGGTTTGTGTGGTTTGTGTGGTGTGTGTGGTTTTGTGTGTTATGTGTAGTTTGTGTGGTTTGTGTGGTTTGTGTGGTTTGTGTGGTTTGTTTGGTTTGTGTGGTGTGTGTGGTTTGTGTGGTTTGTGTGGTTTGTGTGGTGTGTGTGGTGTGTGTGGTTTGTGTGGTTTGTGTGGTTTTGTGTGTTATGTGTGGTTTTGTGTGTTTTGTGTGGTCTGTGTGTTATCTGTGGTTTTGTGTGTTATGTGTGGTTTGTGTGGTTTGTGTGTTGTGTGTTATGTGTGGTTTGTGTGGTTTGTGTGATTTGTGTGGTTTGTGTGGTGTGTGTGGTTTGTGTGGTTTGTGTGTTTTGTGTTTTGTGTGGTTTGTTTGGGGTAGGGGGATAGGTGGGGGATGGGCTACTGAAAACTAACTAGAGCAAAACACAATAAAATGTTGAAGCAATGTATCCACGAAACAAGTTTTGTATTAATAAATATTTAATAAATATAAATAATTGTTTTGTTTTGGGTTTTTAATTCAAGCCTGATAGTGTATGTATAGATGGGAGGTGTCGGTTTTAATTGTGTTGTGTGTTGGCTGTGTGTGAAAGTGTGTTGTGTGTGGCTGTGTGTGTTGTGTGAAAGTGTGTGGCTGTGAGTGAAAGTGTGTTGTGTGTGTGTATTGTGTGTGGCTGTGTGTGAAAGTGTGTGGCTGTGTGTGTTGTGTGTTGTGTGTGGCTGTGAGTGAAAGTGTGTTGTGTGTTGTGTGTGGCTGTGTGTGTTGTGTGTGGCTGTGTGTGTTGTGTGAAAGTGTGTGGCTGTGAGTGAAAGTGTGTTGTGTGTGTGTGTATTGTGTGTGGCTGTGTGTGAAAGTGTGTAGGAGCTGGCACGTGCACCGTGTGTGAGTAAAGACCGTGCTCGATCAGAACGCCCGTGTGAGTAAAACGTGTCGTCCATTGACATGCAAATGAACCAATCAACGCGCTAGACTCTCTCTCTCACGCACCCGATACTGTAACTCGCGTGCGAGAGGTGGGGAGCAGGGGCGCAGGGGGTGTGAGCGCTAACCAATTGAATCGAATTGAATATTCAATAGCTTAGACACCCTATTGTCGTTCGCGCTAATGGCCTTTTCAGGGGCGCCTCGCCCAGGCGTGCCATTCAAATTAGGGGGTCAGGGGTCGGTAAAGGACCAATCAACAATTAGAAAAGTTGGAATGAGGTACACGGAGGTGGGGTCGGTTGCTAAGGACGCCGTAATGTAATTGCTGCGTTTGTTTCTAACGCGATTAGGTGAGCGCCTCGCTTACGCTTTCGTTCACTCATTCGGTGGACATGGAAGTCACATTAAGCCGGTCGTGCCGGCGTTAGTGCCGGTCTACTTGCCGGCGTTAGTGCCGGCCTTCTTGCCGGGCCTAAGTTCCGGCCTTCATGCCGGCGTTAGTGCCGGTCGACTTGCCGGGCGTTAGTGCCGGTCTTCATGCCGGCAGTAACGCTAAAAAGATCATCGAGAAGTACTGCGGGAGTTACTCGGGCTCAACTAGAGAGAGTTGCCCAAAACCGTCCGGTGAAGTGGTGTGGCCGTAGTCCTTTTCTCCCCAGGTGGGGTGTGGCCGTAGCCCTTAGCCCCCAAGGGCTAAGTAAGTCAATGTTTCTTGTTTTATCGAACGTGGCGGCATCAAGTGTGTGTGTGTGGGGGGGGGGGGGGGGGCGTTCACCCAACTTTTGGCCATCTCTCAGCGAATGTTGGCCATCTCTCAGCGAATATTGGCATCCCCCCCCCCCACCCCGGGCCGTTAGCTTGTCACTCCGCAGGTGGACAATAAATTTCACCCATTGTGTCCCCCCACCCAACCGTGGCAAATATTTCACTCCCGCCCCACAATAGTAGAGAATAAATAAAAAATATTTGGCCAGTCATTGGGACAGTTTGGTCGGGAATTGTACAAAAATCTGGCAGCGATTGTGTTGCGCGCGGTTCATGACGTGTCGAGTGGGCGTGGTCTCGACGCGATGACCGCTAAGTGGACACGGCATCGCCAACCACGAACATGGCTTGTGTGATCAGCAACTCTAACGTGACAGGTTGACAGAGGACAACCCATGCTAGACAACCCAAGCTAAACAACCCATGCTAGAAAACCCACGCTAGACAACCCATGCTAGACAACCCATGCTAGACAACCCATGCTAGACAACCCATGCTAGACAACCCATGCTGGTCAAATCGTGCCAAATCGTGCAAACCATCATCAGCAGAACTAGACAAGCAACCACATGACAACCACATGACAACCACATGACAACCACATGACAACCATATGACAACCATATGACAACCAGATCAGCCCCTTCCAGCCCCCCCCCCCCCCACCCCCCGCATGTCTAGTCCGTCACCGTGACGTCACAGTGCCCCCCCCCCCCCACCCCTCGCCAATGTTCCTGATTGCTTATCAAACTCCTCGAGTGGGAACAATACCCCGAACCCACGGGAAAATAGGGGTCTCTTAGACCCCCTTTCATGTTGGGTGGTCACCCCTGACCCCCATGCTACGTGGCGAGGCATGGGTTATGAGCGGAACTGAGGCTGCGCATGCCCAATCAAGTAGTTTCTTTAGGTAATCACATCAGGAAATTTGTTTGGAAAACTCAGCCAATTTTACCCTGACCCTCCCTGTTGTATGGGGGGGGGGGGGGGGGGGAACCCTCCCTGCCTTCAGTGTTTCTTCATCTATGGAGGGGGGGGGGGGGGCTCAATGTAGTGCGGCTCAGTGAAGCGATGGCCCAACTTTGTTTGAGCCGTCATGTAAAAAAAACTAAAATAAGAAACACAAAATTAACCAATCACAATTAATTAGGCTGACGTTGCCATGGTTCTTGCAAACGACAAGTTTTTGAGTTTCTATCACATCGTCTGTTCCTCTGTTCGTCCGTTTGTCCGTTCGTCTGTTCGTCTGCCACAATTTCTGGATGATGTACTAATTATAGATACATTGAAATGTGTAGGCCCTATATTCCAATAATCTTGAACTCACACTTCTGAACACTTCAAATTCAAAACTTTTATTGCCGTTTCCGGCTAGGCTTTGCTCTAGCCATGTATATCAATGTGTAAATATTATTGTCAATGCTGATATATATATATATATATATATATATATATATATATATATATATATATATATATATATATATATATATATATATATATATATATATATATATATATATAACTGTTTTTTAGGAAAAATCAAATCGCATTGCATAAAGATATGCTCAAAACAAATCACGCTAAATTTGGGTGATTTTAA